AGGCACAAGCAGGACTGTAGAAGTTACACGTGGAAGCATTCCTCGTTAGCTTGACGACTCTACTAACGTACTAAAGCACGCGTGTACGAAAGCGTGTTCAGAGGCACAAGCAGGACTGTAGAAGTTACACGTGAAAGCATTCCTCGTTAGCTTGACGACTATACTAACGTACTAAAGCACGCGTGTACGAAAGCGAGTTCAGAGGCACAAGCAAGACTGTAGAACTTACACGTAGAAGCATTCCTCGTTAGCTTGATGACTACTAACGTACTAAAGCACGCGTGTATGAAAGCGCGTTCAGAGACACAAGCAGGACTGTAGAAGTTACACGTGAAAGCATTCCTCGTTAGCTTGATGACTACTAACGTACTAAAGCACGCGTGTACGAAAGCGCGTTCAGATGCACAAGCAGGACTGTAGAAGTTACACGTGGAAGCATTCATCGCTAGCTTGACGACTACTAACGTACTAAAGCACGCGTGTATGAAAGCGCGTTCAGAGGCACAAGCAGGACTGCAGAACAGTCAAAAGCTAGACTGTTACACGTGTGAGGGTATCACAGTGTGCGCACCCTACACAGTGTGGCGAGTGAGTGTGTGTTTTTTTGGGGGGGAGGAGGAGGCGCACCTTAGTGATGCCACTCATCTGTTATGACATCAGCTGTTATGAGGAGTCAGTTACGAGCGTTGCGAATACGAAGTTTCAAAATGCAGTAATAATAATAATAATTTTCGTGTGCCCACTAGGCTACTGGCCTAGTGGACTAATGAAGAGATTCACAGTTTTCACTGACGGGTGCCGCCGCATGCAGGCTCTCTTCTTGGCACCGTTTCCACACTCTATATCTTTTTGCTGAGTACAGAGAAGCAGTGTGTACCATTTTTCACGTTTTTGGTATGACCCAGCCGGGAGTCAAACCCACGACCTTCCACGTGCGAGGCAAGCACTCTACCAGTTGAGCCATCGCAGCGGTTTTAAATGCAGCGTGTGGTTATTACAGGTAAGGGGGCTTACTTCCAGTATGGCGACAGATTGACCCTCGCTGCGCGAAGAGTTGATGAGAGCGTGACTGTCACGTATCGCCGCCTGCATGTCAGAGTGTTGGAGGCCAGGGATGAAGAGCACGCCTGGCAACCTACAAAATATAGTATTAGAATTAACTCGTATTTATTTATATTAACTTACAAAATTTATATTTATTGATTTAATGATGGTACATCATTGGTAAAGCTGAGAACAAGAGCTTTAATTTCAAGGTTTTAATTAAGATAAATGATGCCAGTCCGATATATACTATATTTACAATTATATATTCAAGCTATAGTTAGCCATTATCAACATTCCTATTAGCATATAAATTTAACAATGCTTTGGGGAGAGGAGATTAAAGTATGTCATATACCTAGAAACGACAGCCTGGAATTGGTTTAAGTAGTCTTCATCCAACTGAAAGATAATAATTTTATGAGACTTTGATTCTACATGTAACAAAACAAATGTGCAGAAGTAACACATCTTGATCACATACCAAAATTGATTTTTGCTTTACCTTTTGGTGAAAAATATAATAATTTCATCATTATACACATAATTTAAGTTGGCAAGTCGAATAATGGGCCGGCCAAGTAGGGGAGGTATTATTGACAAACTGCAACACAGGTAATCTTTGGATACAGCATGTTGCCGAAAAAAAAATTGGCTCGGGAACTTTTATGATAAGCTAACATGATGATCAACCGGATGTATAGGCTAGTTGCTCTAACTTACGACTACACACATTTTCATTTGGAAACATCAGCTAAGTCTGGGGGTGATGGCACCAGATAAAGTGTGTGTTTAAACACGGCCACCTGCCCTGGCTGGATGCCACAACACATACAGCCTGTGGCGTGTAGCCGGAAGTGTAACTAACTATCATGCATTAAATGCCACACCTGGGTAAACAGTGCGAAAAGATGATGTTGGGCAAGTCGAATACTGCAGGCCATCAGGCCATTATACGAACAGTAAAAATATATCATCTAAATGCAAAATATGTGTACACGGGTGAAAAATATGCCAAGATTTTAGGTTTCAAACGGAAATAATTCAAGTCGTCCAAATAGGAAACATTTATCACATAAAATGTTAACTACGCATAAATAGCTACGTTGATAGCGAGTGATCTTTAGATAGTGGGTTAATCAAATAATGCGAGCTACTGCTGACCAAGGGTCATCTGACTGGGCTCAGTTTCATGACGATGAATTACTTGGTCTTAAACAAGTTCTTAATTGACTGATCCAATGTCGAAACATTATATACAAACTTACCGGTGGGCCAACTATCACAAGATAAGCTTTACTGTTTACTGAGCAATGCCAATCTGTAAATCAAGAACACATAATTTATATTTGGTGCAGACAGTCCGAGGTATAATCCTCTATGAAGGTCATAAACATAGCTACGCACCCAACCGCTGTTGACATCAGGCCATCCATAAAAAATTCTATGTTTGCTGTCCCCCAACCCATGATTTTTTTAGTGGGTAGCCGTAGGTAGGTATAGGTCTTTTTGTTTTGTTTTGTGAGGCATAATATTTATTTTAAGTCTGTCCTCATGTTTGCCACACATGATTTGTGTTTCATTCTTAACTATGAGGAATGTATATGCCCCTTCCAGAATACCAGTAGAAGAGTTATATTTATATTTATATTTATATTTATATAGACAAAATAAACAAAACAAAACAAACAGAAAATTGATCCCAAAATGTCAAAAAAAAACTTTTGGGTCGTGGCTATTTTCGTGGGTCGGTCGGAGGACAGCAAACGTAGAATTTTTTAAGGATGACCTCACAACAAATGCCGTGTCATGCTGACAATGGCAGCAATAGATCGAAAGCCAATAGAAAACAAATGATCAAATAAAAAATGGAAAAACAGAGAGACGACATATTACTGATGACAATTACGCTATCAAATAAGACGCTGACAGTAATGGTCACAATGACGTCGAGAATGGCAACGATGAAAATGACGACGACGGCAACAACAACTACGCAGCATGCATTCGAGTGTTCCCACTACAGGGGTAGAAATTAACTTTTGTACAAGGTAATCCAACGGACTGGACTCCCTGCCCTCAAAAAGAGGGAATCCGCAGCAAAATGAGGGAGTCCGTAGTCTGAAGTTCAAAATTAAAGATTTGCTGGAAAAATACGGTAATTCCGCAAGGCCGTGCTCTGGAACGAACTAGTTAGTATAGCAGAATTTTCAGGGAGTCATACGAACTCCTAGCTGCATATGTCAAATCAGGGAGTCCGACAGTAAATCAGGGAGTATTTGACTCCGGACTCGCGTTAATTTCGCACCCTGCACTACTACGCATCTGTGCTCACCAGAGAAAGCTTCGGCTAGGTACAGCGGGTCCTTGACGGGCCGCACGCCGGCAACTAGCATGTAGATCTCTGGCTTCTCACACGTGACGGAGAAGACCAACTTCAGGTGGGCAGAAATCGAGAACAGCTCCGACGGATTCAGCTTGACACCTATCGAACCGCACGCAACTAGTGTCAGCCGAAGATTGACCGACTGCCACCCTACAGCAGCGGTTTCAGCAGAAGGTGCGTGCTCGCACATGCACGCATGCACGCACATGCTCGTACATGCACGCACGAACGCACGCACACGCAAATACAGTGCTGGAAATGGCAACCCACTGCCCAGTCCACTTTTGAGCAAGACTGATTCATTCTAATGGATTCTACTATAGGTTATAAAGTAGAAAATAAAATATCCGAAATCTCAGAATTGGCTAGAGTTTTCAGGCCAATTTCTAAGTCACACACTGCTTACAATCTGGCGTATAATCTGCCGCATTGACAAGCCAACTTTAGCTTAACCTCCAGAGCAAGATAGTTACAATAGGAAATAGTTTTAGAGTAGAATAACTGACTGTCTCTATCCAGGAGGGCTCATCTGTAATTTTAAAACTACAAATTTTGTAACATAACATTTAGGCTCTTCTGTTACATACCCTGGGGAATGACTTCAATCTTGTCTGTAGAGATATCGTCTGGCTACAATAAAGATATCAGCTCATAAAATGTTTCACCGGTACACATTCAGTACGGGCGCATGTGCTCAACAGATTTACACTGGTATAAGTATAAACACGCAATCATCGTACATCTCTTCAGGTGTCTTAAGGATTGTAACAGATTTAGGATTGTAACAGATTTAGTTTGAACTTTAAAACATCACACCTACCCACAGCTCCAGCACCTGTCTTGCCATCAGGTCCGTAAAGGCAACAAGTTTCCTGTTGAAACCAGTTGTCACTGCAGTTAATAATCATCCTTTGGAGCAACCACCAACAATACCATCCGAAGAAGAAATAAATCAGAGGATTGAGAATAAACTTTCTTTATTGGCATTCAGCACAGACTGTCAAAAATCAAGTACAGTAGATAGATCCGAAACCAGGGAATTACAAATCATAACATTACAGGGGATCATGCTAGACTTGGGTGAGTGTGGGCCTGTTCATGAATACATGCCTTCCATACATATATCACCTTGCATTTATGACAACATCTGTCATCATGGGGAAACAATCTGCATTCACGCCGCCGTGATTTACGTCAGTTCCACCGAATATTACAGCGTACGGTACTGGGCAATCTAGAAGCAAAAACAACAAACATGTAGGATAAAAAATCACACGAGTAAATAATAGTAACTGAATAATCACGAGCAGTGACAACTATTATTTACTCCCGATAACATGTACATCACGTACACTCGAGTCCATACTATATATATATATCATGGTGTTTGGGAATGATAACGCTGGCATAGAAAAACACTCCTTCATAATGAAGTGCCTCAATCCAATCTGGCATGCATGCATTGCATGAATGAGACACGTACACGTTACACATATAAACAAGTCTATAGGTCGATTGACCTAGCAATAATATCAGATATCTCTGAATTTTTGGGATATCTAAAGAATGCGGTTATCTCCACAGGCACTTGGAACGTTTCAATAATAAAAAGATGGTAAATAACACGAAATGTGTTTACTACGAAACTCTTTCATGTTTCTCTACTCTCTTTTGCGTATTATTGCCGACAATTTCCTGTAAATGCTGTTTAAATGCTCCTTTGCTACACACAAGTACACTGCACTCATGTTGTCACTAAGCACAAACAACAATAGTTTTTTCATTCTTTTAAAAAAAATTTACCATTATTAGGGTACTTTTTTACTTATTTATCATTTTTTGTTTGCGCTGAGCGGCATGCGTGCGGTATACTTGTGTGTTGCAGAAGATCATTTGGATGGCATTTACAGGAAATTAACGAGAATAATACGTGAAAGAAAGTAGAGAATATATCTTTGTTTGTTGGTAGTAAATATATTTTGTGTTTATATATACCATTATTTTACCATTGAAAAGTTCAAGTGCCCGTGGTTATCTCATCCTCACTCAGGAACAGGGGCGTAAATTATAAGTGTTGTTGTCATTTATACCTTGCAGGAGCTTGCCACAGTGAATAGCATGTATTGCTATCACTGTTGCTACCTGGTATAGCTCTAGGAAACCATGAAACGCTTCGAGCGTGGCAAATTCTCGTGGATCTTTGACGAACCCAAAGATGCGATGATTCCGGAAGTATTTCCTGAAGAATAACAGCGCAAAATATATATGTTGCTATATGTAGAGTCGTTTTTTACAAAACGATATTATCAAATGCGATTGTTCAATGTATTTATGTGATACGTATACTTCTAAGAAATAAATGAAGCATATTATCTCACCTTATTCGTTCTGCAGTTATCAGATTTCCCGTAAACGACTTTAATGGCGATAAGACTAATATAGCCAATGGATAATTGGTCTCTGGATCAGTTGCCATTAAAAAGTGTTAATTGTGCGTACAAAAAGTGGTCGAGACCGTCGACAACACGATGTGGTCCTCGGTCAACAACACAACACTGTGGCAGTGACGAGGCGCTAGGTAAGCCTACTTTTCGCTAAAGCGACAGTTTTCGCATCTCTGCCACTGTATCATGTAATGATGTATACCACAATACAACATTAAACAATGATCTGAGTATACAGATGTGTTAACTACACGAATATGTTTACTAACACAGTATAACTGAAAATGAACTCGGCATAAGTAAATATGCACTTTTACTTTTTTAGATCCGCTCGTGTATTACTAATGGATGGGACCCAACTTACTGCTCTACTGAGCATAGTACTACTTGCCACCTACACTTACTATAAGTTCAGGACATGGAACCCATCTATGTTCCACGTGCCGCTGCCGGATCCGGAAGTTGGTGGCGATGGTGTCGTGTGTTGTGTGTGTTGTCAACTACAGATTTTAGTCGGTAATACCACAGGCGCTTGGACCGTTTCAATAATAAAATGATGGTTAATAAATACAACTTGTCAGTACTACTACTAGACCTACCAGTACCAGTAATAGTCTTTCTCTTAATGTTTGATTTGACCTAATAACTTCACTTCAATATCGTCCAATACACCGCTGCAACACATACCGGTACTGACAGTGACGCTGAGAGGGTCTATGTCTTCCGGTGTACTGCCGGAACGTAGTACGTACCCTGGTACTATCTAATATTCCGTACCGTACCTCGTCTACTCCACTAACGAGTGTAGGGAGTCGCCTACGCCTACTCCCTAACCCTAACCCTAACCCTAATCCTAACCCTAGTCCTAAACCTAACCATATCAAATAGTGACCAGGGTACGTTCCGGTATACCGGACCGTACCCAGGGTACGTTCCGGCAGTACCCTGGGGGACATAGACTCTATGAGCCATACTGACATAGCGCGGCCGTGCATGCACAAATACACAGTAATAATACTAATAGTAATATATAACTATATATACAGCTCTATATCACTCTGTATTTGTTCATGCACAATGGCTTGCGCGCTATGTGTTGCAGCGGTATATTGTTGCAGCCTCGTTTCTGAGCTTTGTGCAGCTGCACAGAGGTACTTTGTCATCAGGAAGCTGTTTTGGAAAGTGAGCCATTTTTATGTGCCACAATAGGGTGGCGACTATAGCCTAGGTACGAAATCCTTCAACAGAGCGTACGTTGCTCAATTGACTTGAGTTTCATAGACTGACTGTATGCATTATTTAGGCTGAGAGGGTCTATGTCTCCCAGGTTAATTACTGCCGGAACGTACCCTGATAACTATCTGATAGGGTTAGGGTTAGGGAGTAGGCGTAGGCGACTCCCTAGGCTCGTTAGTGGAGTAGGCGAGGTACGGTCCGTCATATTAGATAGTTCCGGTATACCGGATCGTACCCAGGGGGTCATAGACCCTCTCAGCCATAGTCGGTGTAAAGTGACATTTGTCAATGACAATTGTCATGGTAAACCACAATCAATCATAGGTCCTTAACTGTCAGCTACAGATTTCATTCAGTTAGCTCGAATGTGCATCTCATTTTTAATTTTACGCTGTACTGTCTCTTCTGTAGGGTGGTGCTGTTGACATTGTCGAACCCCCAGGCTAACTCTAATAGCTATGCGAGATACTCAATCACTGATACTGGAAATGAAACGGATATATTAGTACGACTACAGCTCACCCCCTGACACAACCAGATCACTCTTTGTTAGTAGGCAAATAATGACTAAATTATTTGGACTAACATATGGACTACTACTAGTATTATGACGCTGAATGACATCTATGATCAGAGCAGCATTGTGAAACATGGTGCACCTAATAAGGTAACAATTTGCATTAGGCCAAAACAAAATATAGGTGTGGTTACTGTTTCCCGACCGACCCTATTTATTCCCAGTGACCCTAAACATTTTATTGTCAATTTTCTTTAAAGTAAAAAAAAAATTAAAAATTAAAAAAAAAAAATTATGAATTGGACAGTTCCTGCTTCAAAAGGCACAACGCACATCCTTCGGACATGGTTCGTAAATAAAATGTTTCAATAAAATGAAATGTTTTCCTTACCTACCTACCCTATTTTTTTGGCATGGAACGGTATAACCACACCTATTTTTTGTTTTGACCTTTTAAAGGGACTACGTCACGAATTTTCTATGGTAAAATTTGTAAAAAAAAAATTGCCATTTTTTTACATTAAAAGTAAGAACTAACGGGACTAAACAAATTGTCAAATTCTTACCTGAAAAGATTGTTTCTCAACTAGTTAAAAATCCAAAAAACCTGGACGATTTGAATTAATGTTCTCAACATTAATTGCTTGCTATGGGCTATGTATGCATGGTCACGAGTGTATGTTCACATCGAACAATATAGTAAAATAGGAAGTATAATGCAGCAATTTAACCATAAAATGTGAACAGAATTACTTGTATTTTGTGAAAAAGTGGAAATATTTTTTTTATTTTTTTACTATTTACGGTGACGTAATCACTTTAATTTTGTTGTTGCATAGCCACTAAGTAATGGGATTAAATTTGTTCTTCATCCCAATTAAACTATAAGATATGTCGGCTAAACCTTGCATAAAATAAATGATTTTGCCTTATTATTAGTATGAGAAATATTTAATGTTAAATATTAAAAGTTGTAGAGTATGTTAATTGTAGATTCACTGATAGCAAACAAAGGGCGATTTCATCTATCCTAATGCAAATAAAGATGGTAGCTATGTGTGTGGGAGTGCATGCGTGCGTGCGTTCGTCCGCATGTGCATGCATCTGTGTGCATCCTAGAACTTCTATGTTGGTTTTTTACAGGATGTAAACAATGCTCAGAATAATGAAACGGTGATATCCATTGGCATCAGCACGGCGGTGGATGCAGTGCCGCCCACACCTCCTCTAGTTAGAATATTGTGCCTCAACCTAACTCTCTTCCCAAGCTGGCTTCAGTTCGTTGCATGTTCTGTCGGAGTCTTTATCTTCTACCTGCTCTATGGATATGTTCAGGTTAGTAGCTCACAGTTGTATAACTTTACTGTGTATTGACAATGTGTCGACCCGATCATTATATACTGAGCTTTTAATAATTATGAGCTCTGTATGTCAAAAACTATAATGTTGTCTTGATAATAGCTGGAACTATGTATGAACATGGTTTATGAGTTTCGTGTATGAGTTCCTTTCATCTAGCTCATGTAATTTCTTTTTCTAGGAGTTGATATTTCGTCTCGAAGGCTTCAAGCCATATGGCTGGTATCTAACTCTGGTGCAGTTTGGTTTCTACACTCTGTTCAGTTACTGTGAGCAATTGCTAGGAAGATGTCGCCGAAGTCAGTAAGAAACCTCCTTGTTTTTTTTTTATAGAGGGCGATAAACACAGAGAGAGAGCGAGAGAGAGAGAGTGAGTGGGGGCAGGGACGAAGAGAGAAAGAGAGAGAGAGAGAGAGAGAGAGAGAGAGAGAGAGAGAGAGAGAGAGAGAGAGAGAGAGAGAGAGAGAGGGAAAGAAACAGAGGGAGACAAAGAGATCTAAATTAAGATCAAGGTCTTACATGTAGATGGAGAGAAGAAGCATGATTAAACAATACTTACTCGGTTGATAAACGAAACTGATATAGTAATCCTTGATAGAACCTAAATAAAATCACAAGCAACATTTCTCACCTTCTCAGGATACCGATGCGAACATACCTTCTCATCGCCCTGCTTACAGTAAGCACGATGGGGCTGTCGAACAGCTCCCTGGGTTACCTGAACTACCCTACACAGGTGATCTTCAAGTGCTGCAAGCTGATACCGGTGCTGCTGGGAGGCGTCGTGATACAGGGTAGGTGGGTCTAGCTTACATTAGAACCCCATACGAAGTACCTCATAGGGTTAGGGGTTAGGGGTTAGCATTAGGCCTATGGTTATGGTCATGATGTATGGTTTATCCTTCTTCTTTCTAACTCCTATAAATTATGCGATGAGGTGAGGATTGAGTTGGACAGGGTTAATATTAGGATTATTGTGGTGATGTGTAATGATGATGATGTTGATGAGTATGATGATGATGATGATGATGATGATGATGGTGATAGTGATGATGATGATGGGGATGATAATGATGATAGTGGTGACAATGTATGTACGGGGGTCCTAAACTAGGAGTGAGTTAGATAGTCAGCGATATGTGTTGTAGCGATACTCGCCTCAATTAGTCATGCGATGCAAGCTCTGCAAAACCCATGATGTGGTTTTGCTGGTCAATCTTCAGTACATGAGCATTGTGTTAATTATGCGTGTGAGCATACGTGAGCGACTTTTTACCTGCTGCAGGTAAAAAATACGGCTGGCTGGATCTTCTCGCTGCCGCGTGCATGAGCGCTGGTCTTGCTCTCTTCACCCTTGCTGACAGCCATTTGACTCCAAACTTCAACCTAACAGGTGAACATGTGCTAAAAGGGTTGGGTAAATACCTACTGTGTTGATGCTTTTGATTCAAAGACTGCTGAGTTGCGTGAGAGGTTATGGCAAGGACCTATTAGCAATCGGAGAGTTGTTAACATGTAATCGTTTTCTTAAACACTGTCATCATCATAGCAGGGGTAATTTTTTAATCTTTTATTCCTAGATGATCGATGACGTTAGCTTACATCTGAAAGAAAGATATATCCTCTATTCATTTTATTTGTTCACTTTTGTCTGGTGTTACTAACAGTTTAATGTATGCGAAGTACATTATCACTGCTTGTTGCATTTTAGTCTCATGAATGATTATTTCACACAGGTGTTGCACTTATATCATTGGCACTGTGTGCTGATGCAGTCATAGGAAACGTACAGGAGAAGGCCATGAAAATGCACCACGGCAGTAATACAGAGATGGTATACATGAGAGACTAGTGGCAGTATTTGTAGTCATATGAAGGGTACAGATTTATTTATGGTAAACTAAAGGCCTTAACTATGAGCTCAGTTGTAAAGGTGGGAAGAATTTGGGCATTTATTTGTTTATTTGTATGTAGTGGCTAATACAATACTTTCAAGTACTTTGAAACTAGTATGAATGGAATGTATAATATATAGTAATAATAGTAATTAATCATTGTCATAATCATAATTATAGACCACTTGGATAAGTTTGTTAATGTTGTAATGATGATGATTGCTGTCATTGTATGCTGTTGTGTGGCTAAGATTAGGCATATGATTGATCGACTATTGAATGTTTTCTGCTCACAGGTGTTGTATTCTTATGGCATTGGCTTCGTCTACATCCTGGTTGGCTTGACGATTACAGGACAGCTGTTCGAAGCTGCATCATTCTGTGCTGAGGTAAAATGCTCACATTCACGAGATCTGGAACACTAAGTGTAATAGTCGCCATTGCTATGGCGAAGTGCCCTGTAGCAGAGACTGTGAGAGGCAACTGTGTGGGGAAGCAGGCAGTGGATTTAGTAATAAATTAGATCAAAGTTCAACAGGTTGTTTGCTTGATGCTCTCTAGATTGTGGTGAAATTGAGCACATTTGATATGGCAATCCATTTAAAATATAATAATTTATAATTAATTTATGAATATTCTAAATAATTTATACAGTTGGCATGCACTGCTATCTGTGAGCCGTCACACGCTAGGCCACAATGACATATCACGTATGAAGAACATACGTTTGCGAGTGTTTGGAAAAAACCACGGTCGGGCAATCCTGATCGGAGGTTTCCAATTGTAGAAACTCGATGAAAACGATAGCTCTGTGTGTCTTGCAGCATCCGTGGGAGACGTACGGAAACGCGGTCGTGTTCTCACTGACCGGATATCTCGGTGTCAACGTAGTGCTGACGATGGTGAAGCTGTTTGGAGCTCTAGCAACAGTGACCGGTGAGCAGGCAACGTCCTCCTACACTATATTGCGCACGCACGCGCACACTCGCACAGAACTGCCCATGCTTACTCATGAGCATTCTCACGCACCACGCGTGCATGCATGCACACAATCACGCACATACGAACACAGTCACGCACGCACACGCACACAGCCACCCATAGATGCACAGCCACCCACATGTGCACTATATTCACACGAACATGAGCACGCACACGTAGCAGAAGACAGTGGCTGTTTTACGCTGTTGTAATCGTCACTTTGCCATCTTTGCGATACCCATCGCGTGGTGGTACAGGTTTTTTTCTCATCCTTAATCCCTTCTCTCATCGTGGAGAATAGGGCTGGAAATCAAATTTCTCCATGACATTCTATCTTTGGCAGATCTTTCGGCCTCGTTCCATGTTTTAAACCCGAATGTGATCCTTTTTTCTCCAAAACTCTTGGTTGTGTGTTACCATAGATCACAACGCTACCGCAGTTGTATTGTTTGTGGTGCTACTCAGCAGGGGGCAGCAGTTGCTTGAGCATATCTTGTTACGTATAGCAGCCTGCAGTGTTTTTACAAGATCTTGTGCGTGATGCTTTGTTGTTCTATGTTTACAGTGACAACATTCAGGAAAGCTCTCACGATCATGCTCTCCTTTGTGATATTCGCAAAACCGTTCACTTTCCAGTAAGTGAGGCAAAATGTTTATTTCGCCGCTTATTATGCAAGCTGAGTCACAGGGACCTGAGGCAAAAAAAAAAGAAGTTATATATATATAAATAGAAGATAAATAGAATAATGCTTCTATTTATATATATAACACTTTCTTTTCTTTTTTTTTGCCTCAGGTCCCTGTGAGCTGAGTGGCTCAGTCATTACACAATGTAGTTCTAGTAGTAAAACTTTTGATAGAAATTGATCATTGCCAGTACTTGATACGTAATAATTATCTATCTATCCATAATGCTGACGGTTTTAACCACCAGCAGGAATAGCTTAATACACAGATAGAATGTGTGAAACGTTCGAAGATCTGCTGCACTAGCATCGTGTAGGTTTGACTATAGCTCATCACTCGATGCCATCGAGTTATTGAATTAGTGATGGACTAATAGACGAATAGAGCCTGTCAGGTCAGGTTCTGTTTATTGTGTTACTCCTAGTCTACATGTAGTAGTAACATGGAGTGTTCATGTCAGCACTAACAATACATGCTATACATATGTATATTATACATACTATAGAGATAAATGATCTCCCACTTGATAGATGATATACTATAATATACCAAGAATACCTAAACTATTACAATATTATCATGTGTGAATAAAAACACTCAGTTTTTATTTATTCATTCATTCATTCATAGTACTATTACGAATAAACATCTGTCTAGTCAAGTTTAAGGGTAAGCAATATTTGGCTGATATAAGTATTTTCTTCGGCATGCTTTGACCAACATCTGCTGCTTTCACCCACAGGTATGTCTGGTCAGGACTGATCGTGCTGCTAGGTATCTATCTGAATGTCTACAGCAAGAACAGAGACAAGGCGAACGTGAGTGCGACGCTGCTGCGGGTCGGTGGTGCCATCTGTGGAGCACTGCGGAGAGCGATAAACACGCGCTTGAATGCAAAGTCTGTGGTAGGGCATCCGCGGTTGAAAACGATCGCTCAAACGGTGTGATGTCCGTTACAAGATTGTGATATTATAGTAGTTTAGATTATGTGCAAGTGATTGTGCTTTCAACAAACAAGTGGGGTGCGGGCAACCTCTGCCTTGAAGTGAGTGTCAAGGTTGAATAAGATTAGTGAAGGTTAGTGGTGCAAAATAGGATGGGATTGGGTTGGTAATCGTTTTGATCATTTACCTTCTGAGAATCCTGGCCCCCACCCCATGACTTACATAGTGTGGTTACATGGTTTTGTAACCATGTAAGGTTTAATATAAGCTAGGGAGTTCGATCAACAGCTAAAGTGCAACAGATGTATTATTATGTGTTATCAATTCACAGTTTGTTTAGATTGTTTTCCATTGTTTTTCTTTATTCGTGCTGAAACTATTGTGCCTTGCATCTCCTGAAATTTATTCATCTAGCCACACTGCTTGTTGTTGGGTGAGAAACAGGCAAAAACTCCTCAGAACTGCTTCTGGCATTTGTGTATTTTAAACGGCTATATATATATATATATATATATTATTATATTATTATTATATATAACTACTGTATTATAATTTCTGACTATCTCAGAATGTTGGTATCGTTTATACACGCACATGGCATTAATCAGTTCAGTGCAATATAAGATATTGTTTCAGAGAGCAAGGCAAATTGATGGTTGGTGCATAACTGTTTTATAGTATGTTAACAGTCTATTCTCGTAATACTGCTGTACGTCTTACGATAAGTGTTGCGTTTCATAAGTGCCTTTATATATATAAATATATGGATATATCCATGTATGTGAAGAACATCAAAAAAACGACATCATTGATCTCATATTGACATATTTCTGATTGTCATCGAGTTCAACTAAGAAATATGACTTAAAGATCGCTTCCTTGTGCTTGTTATATTTTTTGCACTTCTGTGTTTATGTGCGTGGCATTAAAATGCATTTTCTACAAGCGATGAATTCGAATTCTATTGGTCACTGCGTTTTTAATAGCCAAGACAAAGAACAAACCACGAAAAAAACATCGGCAGTTGTATTAGAATTTATTTCGTGAACATTTGCGTCTTGCTCTTCGCATCACTCGCCTAGACAGCTACGAACAATAAAGCTGCAGAGAGAGCCGCGTTTCAAAGTCGGCAAGAGTATAATCATATGAATGAACAGAACGTGTGAAGGAAAATGTAACGAACGGTTGACGATAGATGCAGCACTACATGAGGCGCCTCGCCTGCCCAACGATGAGACGCCACAAAACAAGTTTACGACCGAAGCGAGAGCGAGTCTGACATATAGGTGGCGCTGCCTCTGCGCGCGCGTGCGGCCTGTAGGCGCGGCCCGATGTCGTTGCGGTCTGTCTCCGCTGAGAATTTTTTGGACGGCATGGTGTTTGTTGATATATAAATATATATATATAAATACTGTACATCGTTCAGGCTCGAGCATCTAGCAGATGCGAGAAACCGCTCGCGGTGACACCGAGGCGACAGTCTAAGTCGCGCGGCGCCATCTATCGA